GAAAAGAGACTGCAGGATATTATTCACACTGCTGTCAAATACAAACACTTCTTATTACCCTTTTTTATTCAGACATGGAGAAAGAGCAACCCTGGAACACAGTGGATGCCTAGTGCCAGGGACAGGAATCCAAGTAAGAGGTACACTGAGAGCTAATGTCAGTGAAAGTGTTGGACACAGCCTCTGACAAATCAATCTCCAGTATTGATCCATCTGGCAGGATGTTGCACAGAGGAACAAGCGTTCCAGATAGAATAAAATGACGGAAATTCTGCAAGAGATCATGTGAGATATCCTCCTCAAAAATTCAGCCTACAGATTTAACTTGCAAAGGCAAGGAACTGAGATTATAACAAAAGTGAGCAGATAAACCAATTTAGTGACTTTTCAGAAACATATCAATAATAAAAAGACAACCTAGATGTTCCTCAACAACCAAGAAAGTCACATGTATTTATCATTTGTGTTCAGCTTTTACTCTTTAGTCTTCTGTTACTGAGCTAAAATAAAACTACAGTAGAATAATTGCAGGGTTTTTTTTTTAATCTTTGTGAAAAAGTCATCTTGGTTTATTCCCTTATCTGTCCTGACTTACATATAGCCCTGTAAAGCTTCTCCTCAGTTAAAGAAATATAATAATTCTACTCTGAAATAGCTAAAATAATAAGTTGCATAGAAAAAAAACAAAGTCTGAAATACAAAATGGAATTAGGAGTTCTGTAAAACAGACACACAGAAAAGAAACGTGGCTCCCAGTTGAACCACTCTCTCTAAAGAACCATTCTTACTCATAGTTAGAGGTACCGTAACGATCCTTTCAGTCATTTCTGCATTTGAACTTCAGCCTTTGCTGAAAATTTCTCCTCTGGCTATATTTGAAAAATCAGAAATGCTTATTAAAAGTTTAATTGAAAACTAATGGCAGCATGCGTAGTGATGAACTAGCTGGCTATGACCATCTCTACAGAGAAATATTCATAGTTCTTGACTCTAGGGTGAAAAAATAGAGGTGTATCACCAAGAAAGTATGAAAAATGGTTGTGTACAAACAAACAGCATGGAGAAAAAATGTGAGCACAGTAAACAAAATTCCCTAAAGGCAATGAAAAGCTAAGGTTGAAAGTTGAAACACGAAACTTTCAGAAGGGTTGTTAGTTTTAACATTCAAGCAAAACTGGATGAGATCCTGCCACCTACTGTGTGTTGTAGTGACAACTGGAAAGATTGCTCTGAAGCAAAATTTGGCAAAATTTTGGCAAAGCTTTCTTTACAGCAGACTTCATATAAAGGCTCTCAGTGTTTTCATGCACTGTTTTATATAGAATAGCTATTGCTTGAGGAGTACACATGATTCTCATTTATTATTTATATTTTTTTTCTATCAAGAACATCAGAACTTATGGCTAACTGGGAAATTTTAGAAGTCAAAATGTTGGCAGAGCCTGGAAAGAAAGAAAATCTGAGAAAATACTTGTAAAAGGACCTCGCTTGCAGTGCTAAAATCAGTTAGCAGCATATATATTTGCAAAGATACGTCAATCTACTAGACTTCAAATAACTAATTTTGAAAATCAAAGAAATAATCAGTTTTAATGTTTAAATTATTTTCATTTTATTATCCTACAAATCGTAACCCAATCAAAATCATCCTTCCCTCAGAATTTTCAAGTTTTAAATATTTTATTTTAATTACAAATGTTTTCATTACCCTCTTTAATAGTAATTTAGTCTTATAACTCTTTAGAAAATTCAGATATGCTTTGGTTTTAGTTGTTCTGTTCAATTTTTGGTTTGTTTGTTTTTCTAAACAACACAGCTTTTCTTCTCTCAGGCTAATGTCAAAATAAATTTGTATCACTGATCTAGTTGGAAGCCTATAAGGCATAGCATCATAATACTGAACTTAAACATTTCAGAGAAATAACAGCTCAAAAAGACAGGGCAGTGAAAGTAAAATCTGTTTAATCCCATGTTTTCGTTTGCCTTCCTTGATTCTTATTAGTTTGCAAAATGAAGTTGAAAATTCCTGTTGTATATTGGCATTTCCCTTGACATTAAATACTATGGTTGACATACAGTAGCATTTTTATGACATGGCTAACACAGATACACCGGTATTTTAGTCACAGCAGTTCATCTGAAGAGCAGTTTGCAATGGAGTTCTGGCCAAGAGCCAAGAGATTGAGGAGCTGACTATTTGGGGCAGAAGAGAGAGTAACGTCTTTTTAACCTAGTCAAACTCTTAATCCACAGCAAGGATCAAAAGTTTCTGACTTTACATATTTGGAGAAAAATCTCAGCCACAACTTTTACCTCCTAAATTTATCAGTGACAATTTCAGCTAGCCTAAAATTAGTCAAAGATCAAATTCTCCCGGACTCAATTATTTTTTGGCAGAATTTTGATACTGGAAAGACACAGGTAATATGAATAAAAACCTACATTCTAGCCATCACACTGAGTTACAGATTGCACATGATACTACGTATTCATGAATGGGAACTATACTTACTGAGGAAAACAGAAACCTCACAAATTTCTATTAATTCAACAACAACAAAGGTTAGAATGACATTTTATCAACTTCCTTTTTGCATACTGTAAACACATATTAATCATGTGCCATGACTGTGATTCCCCTTTCCATTTTCTACAGGTTTTTCTCCTAAGCACCATTATTCCTCCCCAGATGCTAACTAAGGGGCAAAAAACCAAACTGGCAAATAGATAATCAAAAGAGGTGCAGTCATACACCTCATGATTTTTCTTGCTATGAAAAATCCCAGGGAAAAGAATCCTACTAGCAGCAATGACTATGAGAGTTTTGGACAACAGTAGCATCCAGCTTAAAAAACTTACATGACTGAGGACTTCACCACTCACACTGTGAAAGCAAATGACTACAGAGGCTGAAACCCAACCTTCTTGAAATGATCTGAGATTCGGTTTGGCATCCTCTCGACATTTAGGAGGACATGAGCAAGAGTCCAGTGAAGCCTTTCAAAGGAGGGAGCTTATGAAATAAGAATATTCTAGAGCTTCAAGCATTTACAGAAGAAAATATTGGTAAACCCCGCATATAGTAGTTCACATTACCAATTTAATAATGCAATATCTAAATGAAAGAGTACTGATGGTAAAAAGTCTAATGTCACCTTCATGTTTGACAGAATATGTGGTAGTTTGGAAGCTATTATTTGAGAACTCACATGTTGAAATTTTCTAATTGACTGCTCATACGTTTCAAAATGACTTTATAATTATCAACTGAGCAAGCTAAATTAACCCTGAAACTTGTAGTAGTAAGTATTAAACTGCTCTCTCTCGCTTACCTATCTGCTTATCTACAAATAGGCGTATCCATTACCTAACACCTGCCATTCTGAGCCACCGTGCTCTGTTTGATTAACACCTCTGCGCAGAGCTGGTAACCTGTGGCATCCAACAGCCTGACCCTTACTGGGCCATCATACCTGTCCATGCAAATGGACATCCAGAGTTCTCCACACATATACTCACTGATGTCAAAAGTGTTTCAGGAGCCAGGAATTAGGGTAAGGGAGCTTTTCATTAAAGTCCCATTTAAGAAAAGGTGACTTGCACAGCCTTGGGTAAGTCTCCTTGTGCCTCAGTACCGCATCTTTAAAATTAGGTTAATATAATCTCTCCAATTCACAGGAATACTGTAAGTGTAAACACTGTGATGTCATGAGACACTGGACTAACAAGATGTTCATATCACCTCTGCATATAGCTGTAGTTACCTGGTTTTTATACTTAGAAATAAAACAAAAATAATTTCAGAAACAACATCATTAGGAAAAAAACACCTCAAGAGAATAAGTAACATAGACAGTAAAAAAAGAAAATAAGTCTATTTTTCCCATGAAATGACTTTTAACATGAAGCCTTGGTAATGTATTCATCATTATCGAAACTAAGCTTGAAAACTGAAACTATTACACACAAAAAACAAATGCAAACCCCAAAGCTATGACTACCTCTTAATCAGTAAGCAAAAAACTTTTAAGATGTTCATGGTAACATGAAATACTTAGATTCCTTTCAACATAGATTGCAACATCAACATGTTTTCTATTTTCTTTGATGCCTCACCTGAAAGTTTTCATAGAAAAAGTAGATATTGCCTTTTAAAAAATAAACTAATTTTTTAGTATCTATAGATATGCACAGGTAGCATTTTATATGTCTCATATACAATCATGAATGCTCAAAACACTTCAAAAAATAATTTCATGCAGGAAATAATTTCTTGCAGGAAGAGCAAGAGCAGCTAAAGTAACTTTCAGACTATCCTTCTCTTCTTTCCTTTCAGTGATGTTGTATCCAAGAAGATCTTCCTCCCAGGGCAATACATTCTCCCTAATCTGTGTTTGGTTTTGCAGTGAGTCTACAAAGAACTCCGTGCCTTGGAGTTTTGTCCATTGGTGTTTTCATGAAAAACTGCAATTCTTAACAATGTTCTGACAGTTTCTTTCTTTTTAATGTCATCGACTTCTTTTAAATCGTTACCAAATAGAGCAAATTATGAAGGACAGATCTGCAGAACTGCACAGTCGTGCTGGTCAACCAACTTCCAAGCCAAGACTTTCTGAAAGTTTAATTTAAACTGACTCTAGTCACATCCCACCGACTGTTGCCAACATTTAGTGTGCTCCCACAGTGCTCCTTTCATACTACTTTCATCCAAGAGGAATCCAGTTCATGCATCTCAAGACCACTCCAGAATATGAACCAAAGTCTGTGGTGACAATCAGAAGATTCATTGGTCCAAACTAAATAGCTAATACAAGTGTACTTATCATGTAAGATCTGTAAACCAATTTTCATCTTTAGAACTACTAGGATTTGGCATATTCAGACTTCAGTGAAATTATTCCCAATTTGTCCACAAGTAAAAGCAGAATACATATTTAAAGGAAATTAACAGTATATATTTCACACCATTTGCCATGCATATAAAGGATTCAGAAACTCACCATATCGGTATCTGAAACAGGTCCAAAACTGGTCACATAGATGTTAGTGAAGACTTCAGTAATACTATCTGATATAAAAAGAAAGAAAACAAAAAGCAAACATTTTAAATGTATAGAATTTTCCAAAATCTCGAACTGCAAAATTATGGGATGTTTCAAACAAGTTTCTGTCCTTACTTAATTCTCCTAACCAGGATCCTGTTGTAAATATTGGGGATCTCTACCCCATCAAACACAGAAGTTATCAGATCAGAGTTTGTCCCACTGAGTAGTTCGTTTCTGTTAGAGGACACTGTACAACCATGAGCAACTATACGCATATTTCCCATTTACCCACCAGCTAAAATAAATACACTATTTTGGGCTTAACACAACAGTACAGTTCTAAACATAAAATGCCTTTGTTGCAGAGGTGTTACTTCTGTTGTTGCAGATCATTCCTATGAAAGCCGCTCTAATTCAAGGCTATTTTCTTCATCCTGAACAGATTTTCAAAGCCAAAGACAAGAAAAATTTACAAAGCCATTACTGAATACACCAAATGTAACACTCAACAGCATCCTATTTTTTAATTGGGTGTGTTTTTAAGTGGCACGTATTTTAACATAATAGTTCCTTCCTTTGGTACATGATGCCCCTGATAAATTGTTGTGGTACTGTAAATACTATAAGAAAATGTTCTTTCTAATCATTGTAGTCAGACAGCCATGAAATCAGAATATTAAATATTGTACTGCAGGGAAAAATAATTGCTGAGTTTTCAATCTTTGGTTTTCAATTAGGCTCAAAATGGAACAATATTCACTAAGAAGGATAGCAAATACTTGCAGGAAATTTCTTACAGCAGTTGCCAACTACTGTCTGCATTCAAGACAGTCAACACAAGAAATTCTTTGCCTTAAAGCCAGTCACTGGCTAGAAAAGAAATATTTGAATACAACTAACTGCAATTTGACTCACCTCAGAATTTCCCATTCCTAAAAATAATACAGCTACATGTTATATGAGTAATCATGCTGCTATGTTTTCCATATCTAATCATCATTTAATATGGATAGTTAATAGTTTCTGTATTCATAAGAGCTATCTTCTGACAAATATGTGTCATGAGCAAATTTTCCTTGCAATTATATTGAGGCCAACAGTATAATCCCTGCCATCTATTGGGAGAAGTCAACTGTGCTCACCCACGATGGCAGAGACCTTACCAGCCACCAGGCAAAGGCAAGGCTCTTCCGTGTGTGGCTGCCTGGGGAGCAGTGTATTTTCAAAAGGATGTAGCTGCACCCAAACCAGAGATGAGGTGATATAGTACTTTCAGAAAACTTCTGCAGCATTGGGGAGGCACATTCCCGCACTTTCATCTTTAAAGAAACTTGAATTTTCTTCTGCAGCAAAACACTAGATGTGCTTATTAGAATATAAGACTTGGTAAAGCCTTTCCTACCCCAAAGAATCTTCTTTCTAGGATCATCTCTGCTACTTAGGCAAATAAATAGAGGCTGACTCTTACTATGTGTCACTCTGAAAGTTCAAAAGCACACTTCCTCCTACATCCTGAGAGATGTCTGTTCATGTTATAGAGACTTCTATAACCACATATGCAGTATCCATAAAAAAGCTGAGTTGATTTCTACTCCAAACATCTTATAAACTAATTTTAAGTCAGTGGACAAGAGGTGCTGAGTCTGCACTGTTCTTAGTATTCAAGAAGGATAAAGTATAGGTCTGGCTGAAATATTATACAGGTACAATTCAGAAGATCAGTGACTGCATGTTGCCTGTTGCAGAGACTCTCCAGAAAAAAATTAAAAAAAAATATTATTTCCTTCAAGTGGTTACCTGGCACAGGCTGAGATGAAATGGAAATGTGGCAAGAGAGCTATTCTTCAGGGGGTAAAACAGTGTTGCAGGGACTAACTGTGAAATTTGGCTTGTACTATGAAATTTGGTCTGTACTATAATGATAACACAAAATCTTAATTAAAATTCCATGAAAAATACTGGTGTTAGAAAAATGTGCTGCAAACAAGTATCCTGAAAGAAGAGAACCAAGGCTAATTTCAATTACACTAGTATACTCTGAATGAACACTACTATAGGCAACAAAGTTACTTAGCAGATACTAACCTGCACCTCACCCCTGCAAATGATTGGAAGCATGGTCCTCTTGAAACCTCACACTACTGCTATCAGTTGTTTGCATCCAATATATTATATGACACATGGGAATGACTTTAAAATATAATAAACGGCTGGACATGGACTCTTCAGATTTGCCTTGCATTTTAAGCTTTAATTAAAAAGAAGTCCCATGTTCTATCCCACCTACCATCTATCCATCCTACCATCAGAAATGAGAAGAGATGACAGAGCTGACAATAAACAAATTGACTATGACATACTATTGAATGCTATTACAACAGCCTGCAGATTCTCCATGTCGGTACACATTACTCACTTCAAATCCTTGCAAGTGAAGGATCAAGACTTGGGGAGTGGAGAAGGGACAGATACCCTATGTACAAGGAAACTGGTCCTTAAAGAGAAAAAAAGCTGAAATGTAATAAATCTTGATTTATTCCTGTTATCATCTGTAAGTATTAGCAGCCTGAGCCTTTTGTCATTTTCTTCTTTGCTGCTTTACATAGTGTTACAATAAATTTTACTTTGGATTACAAATTTGAACTGAGGATTTCAGAATCAGCATCTATGAAAAGAAAAAATTAATCCTTTTTCACAATAAATAACGCAGTTATTAAAAAGAATACATGCTCATCAAATAAAATTTGTATTAAAACATCACTTTGTCCCACTAGTACTTAATGAAAACAACTCAGAGGCACAAAGCACAGATTCAGATAGACTCTCTAATCAGAATTCATCCAGCAGGCACCACGGTTACAGGCTTTTTATAACTCACGTTCTGTCGAGAACAGCACAAGGCATCACACTTAGCCCACTGGAGATTCAAATAGTTCTGAATCATCAATGCTTGTGGAAAAGCCAAAGGAATGTACTCAGCTAAAAAATGTTCAACACGTGTTCATGTACAAATTTGGAGTTTATTTTTCTGAGAAAAATTAGGAACAAGTTTTTTACACTAGAATTATAAAATCTTTTTCTTCAATTGACATGTAAACACATATCTAAGAAGCCTGCTTTTCAAAAGTGCTTAAATCAACAGAGGCCCAGTGCTTCTGAAAAAGTCTAGTTTTTAAGGAAGAATCCTCTATTGGGAGGAAGGTTGACTGACTCATTTACACTTGCGAGCTCTTAAGTTATTCTGAATCACTGCCTTTGAAGGTTAAACAAATAAACAGTAACAGGAAACAGTAAGGATATAGTTTCTATTTCTGATGTTTCTTTAGGGGAAAAAAGTCTCAGGCAAAGTATATGATATGTAGATGCCATCATCACATGAAGTGCTCTGAAATTCAGCAAATGTTATAGCACCATTTCTAACTTGTCTTGGTCATAAATGGGAAGCCTTATCTGACTTATCTTAGGCCAGTTTCTCAGAGGATGGAAGCCAAAGGTAAACTGACAGAAAAAAAGAACTGAGAAATTTAGGAATAAAAAGAGGAGGAAAAAATACATCCTATGAAAGTAGTAAAAGCAATAACTATTAAGATCATGTTTCACATGGTTCTCATGTACTGGTTTCTTCTGATTCCTTTTCCTTACTTGAGCTGTCATTATATCAATACTGAAAAAAAAAATCAAAAAGTAAGAAAGAGCAATGTATCTACTAAACTGGAGAAGATTCATATATCCTTCTACATCCTTAGCTGGAAGATTTACTGTGTGCTTTAATTACATTTAGGATTTTACAAATATTAATTATAATAACCTCTCTCTGAATAAAATAATTTTATTATCTTCCTTTTTTCTGTACTTGGGAAGCTGAGGCAGAAGGATTAAATGAAGTGTAAGTCATGTGAAGCACAAGCGTCTACCAAATCCAGCTTCAGCTGTCCAACCTAAAGTATCCACACTGGAAAATGTCAGTATCACTGACTTGTCAAAAATTAGAAGAGGAATTCAGAGCTTAGTTAGAGTTGGTATCAGTGCCTTTGTCCATTCCATTATGCCAGCCATCTTGCTGCTGGATACCTTTTCTGATGGTTTGAAGTCCTGCTGACTTGTTCCTCAGTGGAAGAGCTGGCTCAGCTGAAGTAGGCTGCTTGGCAGAGAATTTGCAGTGGCTGAAGTCTAAATCAATCACAGGTTGAGTAACGGAGGTGGTCAGAAAAGTCGAATGAAAAAGCTCCTCATCAGCATTTACCAATTAGTCAAAATTGGAAATTTCGACAGAGACAATTCAATTTTGAATGAGTTTCTTTGGACTTGTGCCTGCCAGGCAGATTTTAAAACTTCTCTCCTTTCTTTCAGATGTCCCGTCTCAGTTGCCTGCATCTCTGATGGGGTACACAGGGTTCCAGCATCTGCAGTGTGGGGTAACTAGACATGCAGCGTGTTTGGCACACCTGAGAGCTCTCCCTTTCTTGTAGAACTCTAACTCAGGATCACCTTGCTTGAAATAAATTTTCTGAGCATCTCTCATATTTGAGAATGATTTGTGTTTTGCTCATTCCTTCTCTCTTCTCATCAAAATAATCTAAAATCCTTTCTTTGCAGAAAGTAGGGACAAAACATGCAGAGCTCATTGTAGGTATGTTTAAAAGAGAACAAAGTAGTGTGACCATTATGTAACGTCTTCAGAGTGGACCATTAAAAGGTTCCAGATATTCGTTTGCATGAAGCTGGCTATATTATCCATCCATTAATGGGTCAAGGCTATCTTCACAAGAAACCACGTTAGTAGATTAGGTTGGAATTATTATTATTATTATTATTATTATTATTATTCAATAAAACTGTAAATTCAGGGTCTAAAATAAAAGCCAATCTGCTTGTGGTAATCCAAATTCTTGGTGGTGCAGAGCTTTTGCAATACAGATACACAGTTCTAATGCATGAGACAATTTCTTACAAACATTATTTTAAATGTAGAGCAAATAGTACTCAAGAGAACACTGCAAGGCTGTAGTGGAAGGGCTGCTAC